GCCGGCACCGCCCCCGCCGCCGCGCCGCCAATCCGCGTCCTCCCGCCCGCCGCCGCCGCGAGGGGCCGGCCAATGGGCGTGCAGGGGAGGGGCCGGCACCGCCTTTCGGAGGGGAACGGGGGGGGAAATGCGTGGCGCCAGTGACGTCAATGAGGTGAGAGGGCGGGGCGTAGTCAGTCTGGCCACGCCCCTGGGTGGGGCCCGCTTGCGTAACAGCGAGGGGGGAATCCCGCGTGACGTAGGCGCGGGGGGTGTCTCTGAGTTTCGCGCGCGAACTTCATGGCGCGGCGCCGTTTCGGGCAGTGGGGACGCGCCGGGGCCCTCGGGCTCGGGGCTCTTCCCCCTGGCCCGGATCGCGGCCCGGTTCACCGAACTCCCCCGGTTCCGTAGCCCCTGGCAGGGAGCTGCCTCCCGGAACTGCCCCGGCCGCGCTGCCTGCAGGCGGAGCCCGGGCCGCCCCGGCGCCGGCCCCGGCCCCGTCGAGGCGGGGCAGGGGAGGAGAGAGGCCCCGCTCGGGGAGGACCGTTAGGAGCCAGATGTTTGGCAGCAGCCAGCAGAGGAATTTGCTGCCGGGGCAGAGCGGGGCCTTGCGTCCGCTCTCGCAGCGCAGCAGTGCAGCCAGGGCCCTGCCATGGCCCGCACGGCTCCGCCGGCCGCGCCGCCGCCGCCCGGGCCCGCAGCCCGCGCCTCGCTGAGCATCCACCGCGCCTTCCTCCGCAGCCCGCTGGGCCTGCTGCGCCTGGGGCAGCTGCTCCTGGGCGCTGCCTTCTGGGTCACGGTGGCGGCTCACAAGTACGAGGGGGCTGCCCACTTTGCGCTCTTCGCCGCCGTGCTCGTCTGGCTCCTCACCCTGGCTCTCTTTGGGCTCAGCCTGCTGGGGCGCTGGACGCTGGTGCCCTGGCTCGGCTCCCGCTGGCTCCTCACCAACCTGGTGCACGACCTGGTGCTGGCCATGGGGCTCTACGCGGCCGCCACCGGCATTATGGGCCACAAGGCTGGGCGCAAGAGCTACTGCAACCTGCCCGGCTACAGCCAGCGCTGCCTCTACGGGGCCTACCTGAGCGCCTCGGTCTGCGGGGGCATCACCGCCTGCCTGTACCTCTTCTCCGGGCTCTACTGCCTCTCACGGCGCTGCCGGGACGAGCGCGACATCGTCTGAGACCCCGTGGCGCTCGGCTGCCCTTCCTCTCACGCGTGGACAGACYGCAGCCCCTCTTCCGGACCTAGCGGCCCTGCTGCCCCTTCCCCTCCTGGCTGACTGCACCGGCTTCCTCCAGAGGCTCCTGCACGGACGAACGGACGGATGGACGGACGGACAGAGGCCTTCCCTGGAGCACAGCTTCCCCTGCACCCTGCCAGGACAGCATCGACACCCCCACCGCTGCACAGGCGCCTCTCCTCCCCTGCGGATGGAAGGATGGATGCACGGATGGGCAAAGGCTACTGCCAGCCAAGGGATGCAAGAGGCGATGCCCTAGGAGGGTTCCAGATGCTGGGAGCCCACAGGGTGCCCTGCCCGGCACCCAGCCGCGTGCTCAGGTGGGTGCCCGCTCTGTGCCCAGGCTGGGGAGCCTGGGCCGGGGCGGCTGAGCGAGAGGCCGCGGTTGCAGCGGGCTGGGTGGGCACAATTCCCCCAGCGCTGCCGGCCGCTCGGCGCCCATGCGGCTCCCAAATGGACGCTCTGGTCTCGGCTTCCCCAGCGCGGGCCCCTCCTCCCGCCCGGCCTCAACACGTCTGCGTGTTCCCGGGGCCCGCGGGCTGAGCCTCTTCCTGCCGCGCTCCGCTCGGCTGCCGCCCGCGTCCCCGGCACGCACTCCTGGGCGCCGAGCCCCGCGGGACCGCGGTGCCTGCTCACCCGTGGCTCCCGCCTGCGCTGCGGGGAGGAAGGAGACGAGCTGGGCACGTGGCCAGGGTGGCGGCTCGGTGCCTCCAGCCCTGCGCCTCACACTGCCCGCCCCGTGGCACCCGGGAAGAAGGGGGTTTTGTGCCCCCAGCCTCTGCTCCATCTCCTGGGCTGGGTGTGCGCTGCCAGCGAGAGGCCCAGGCTGCTGCTCTCTCCCTGCCAGGAGAGCTGTGGCTCTGATCCCGCCTTAGGGAGACAGCCGGGCCCGTCAGCTTGGCCTGTGGTCGGGCTGCGCCTGCAGAGCCAGGCCTGGCCCTGCCGCAGCCCGGGATGCAGCGCGGCGGCCTCGCCGGCCCTGCCTGGCTCTGCGGTGCCTGGTTGGCATGTGGGGCGCGTGCCGGGCTCCTGAGAACACGGGCCGGGCACGTCCCACTGCAGCACGGGGGGCTGGCGTCTAGGCCCAGCTCAAAGCTCAGACTGATTGTCCGGAAAAACTCTTGTCTTGGGACTGTCTGGCCACCCCCAGAGCACGGCGCCGCTGGAGCCTGCGAGGAGGTGCACGAAGGGACGGGACCCGCAGCGGCCACGACTGTTACAGCTGGGAGCGCAGGGAAGCTGGAGACGCTGCGGCCCCGCGCTGGGGCTGCTGAGGACACTGCGCGGCCTCCAGAGCAGGAGGAGGATGTGGCGGGATGTCGGGCCGGCCCTGGATCGGCCCCCACAGCTTGGCCGGTGCCCAGTCCTGTTGGTCCCTGCTGGGGCCACCTGCGGGGAACAGGCGATGGAGGCCCCTGGAAGCTGGGGATTGGGAGCCCCACATGGGGGGATTGGGATGGAGAGGAGCACTGTGCTCCCACCGGGTGCACTGGGGCTGCCGGTGGTCACTGTTCCCCCTGGGAGGTGCTGTCCATGCAATCCTGTGCTCGGAGGCCCCTGTCACCCCGGCCACCCGCGCCTTCCGCGGGCAGGTTGCGCTGCCCCTGCCCCGTGTCAGGGCTGGTCCCTGACACCGCTCAAGCCTCCCGCCGCTGCCCCAGCCCCGCCTGTCGCGCCCGGCTCTGCCTCCCCCCGGGCCTCTCTCCGGTGCCCGTGAACCCCCCTTCCAAATAAAGCAACGCTGGTGCACGCTGCGTGTGTGGGCTTTGCGCTGCGCCCCCGCACGGCTCCGCAGCCCTGCGCCCTGCCTGGCCGCGAGCCCTGCTCGCACCCGTGGGCTGCTGGCCCTGGCGCGGTGCCCGTGTGACCGCTGCCCCCGGGTGCCCCCCGCGCKGTCCCCAGGGCTCGGTGGCCGCGGCGGGGACGGGGTGCAGCTGTGTTGGTGTCACGGCCGCCCGGCGGCRCTGAAAGGGCTCTCTGTCCCTGTGCCCACGCTCCGGAGCGCTCGGGGCAGCCGGGGCATCCGGCCTCCCCCAGGGCTGGCCCTGGTCCCGGCTGCGCTCAGGGCTCAGCCCTGGGATTCCCTCGCGGCCGGCACCGCCATGTTCAATGGGGCAGCGCCCCGGCCCTCATGCCCCCRCGGTGCCGGAGCAGCACCGAGCTCTGCCTTGCCCTCCCGGCGCAGCGGGCAGCCTGGAGCCTCCTGGGATGCAGGGGGGGCTGCCCCATGGCACTGCTTTGGCACCGCAGCAGTGTCCCCCTGCCCCTCTTGGCACCCGTCACAATCTCCATCCCCAGAGCATCTTCTGGATATCCACTAGCACAAGGGGCACGGTGACAGGACTGCCCAGTGCTGCACAAGGGAACTGTAAGTATTTATGTGATCTCACAGGTTCCCTGCAGCCCAGCACTGCACTGCAAACCCCRTGGGCTCGGGGTGTCTCGATGCCCTGGTCTCGCAGTGGGATCACGGCGTGGGCATCCCCTTCTCACCACCGGTGGGATCCTGGCCTTGGGTGTCCCCCAGGCTGCACTAAACGGCCTTGATCTCTTATCATTCCCATGCTGTCCTGCCAGAGTGACGCTGCTTTACAGTGCAGATTAGGGGTTGACCGCTGGAAAGCAGCTCCAGGGAGAGGGGTTGGGGAGTCCTGCTTGACAACAAGTTAGTTGTTGTGTGCCGTCCTCTTGGGCTCCACGTGGGCAGCACAAGCCCCTCGCGGTGCTCTCCATGATTTGTGCTTCCCTGGACATTTGGCCATGCTGTAGGGGCGAGGGCAGGGGCCGGTGCAGCCGGTGGGCGCTCCGCTGCCCAAGGGCCCGTTGGCTCCGTTCCCCGCAGGCACATGGGGCTGTGCTGGGTGAGCAGCCCGTGGGCGAGCACGGGCCCGTATCTCCCTGCCGCCTGCCCTTCCAGACACCAATTCCGCATTACATAAGGAATTCCCATTGTATAATTGCCATTACACAAGCGTTGGGCTCTGGAACTGAAACCTGGGAGGAGTTTGCTGATCCCTCTGTGTGCTGACCCCCCTCTTCGGGCTGACGTGCGCTTGGGGGTGACAGGAGGAGGCTAAAGCCCTTTTGGAGACAACGTTCCCTCCGCTGACCCATCGAGCGCCTCAAAGGCCATTTCCTGGGCAGGCCCCTGGTGCTTCTCCATAGGGATTGCTATCCCTAATCCTTGTCAGCGGGAGGCAACCCCAGTACCTGTTGCACTACCTTGCCTTGCTTCATCCTGCRTAGATACCATCAATATACTATATACCATATACATACTATATACCATTAACACTAGCAGTCCAGAGGGCACAGGTGGCTTCTCCAGGTCCTTGGCTGGCTGCATCAGAGCCAGAGCTGTGCTGCCTTTATAACTTTGGGATAACGGCAGGAACTGTGTCCATGCCAAGCAAAAGCAACCTGGGTTTCACTTTCTTTGGGGATGRGAACTATGAAGAACGTGTTTTTAAYRTCTATGGCAGACACACAGATGGGTTTTCCTGGCTGAATCCTTGCCCTGGCCCTGGGAAGGCACTGGGAGCCGCCRGGGGCGCAGGGCCCTCGGCCGTGGAGGCAGCGCAGGGCGCAGGGCTCCGCAGGGCCCGCGGGGACACTCCGGCCGCGCAGGCGCGGGGCTGCGTGTGAGCTGGGCCTGGGGCTGGCGCCGGACACAGACGGCTCTGGGAGCAGGGGTGGGTCCAGACCGAGATCCATGACTGGACTGAGCCCGGCCGGGCCAGAGCCCTGGAGCGAGACCTGCATCCAGGTTGGGCCAGACACTGGGGCAGACTCGGAGCGCTGCTGAGGCGCACTGCAGCTGGACCTGCACTGGGACCAGCCAGAGCTGGACCGGGACCAGCCTAGAGCCAGACTGGAGCCAGACTGGGACCAGCCCTGGATTCAGACCAGATCTGAACAGGGACCAGCCCTGGATTCAGACCGGATCTGAACAGGGACCAGCCCAGGGTTCAGACCGGATCCGGTCTGGGTCCAGCCCAGGGTTCAGACCGGACACCGGCCCGGCCCCGCCCGGCCCTTGGTCCCTTTGGGACCCGGACCGGGAGCCGCCCGCAGACAGACGCCACCCCGGCCCGTCTAAGCCGTGTCCCGCTTCCGGGCGCGACGCCTCTTCCGCCCCTTGCCCTCACAGGGGCGGGGCCTCCCCTCCCGGCGGCCGGCCTGGCTCTTTCCGATTGGCCGGCTGCCGGC